AATCTCAATATGTAAGTTAGATTCTTCTTAAATTTTTGTACTTGATGTCAACTAGTAGATTGTAATGTATATGTATTTTAAAGTAAAATAAAATATTTTATTAATAATTATTAAAATTTAAAAATTACTATAAGATTTTATTAGGATTGACTATGATTTAGTTAAAATTTACCTAAGATTTGATTAAGGTATCTTTAGGATTCTATTATGATTCATTAAAGTGATTAGAATTTATTTAAGATTTGATTAAAATATCATCAAAATTGATTAGGATTTGATTAAGGTATTTTCAAGAATTACTGAAGAATTTCTTAAGGTTTTTTTATATTTTTTTTTGGATATATCTTTTCAAATTTTTCTTTAAAATTTCTTTGGGATTTTCTTCTTAGAACTTTTTAAAATTTCTTTAATATTCTATATGATTTACTTAATAATTCTTTTAGAAAAAATGTAAAAAACAATAGAATTTGCTTAAGATTTGATATGAATTTTTAAGATTCAATTAAGGTTTATTTAGTATTTTATTAGGATTTTTAGGTTATATTTTTGTTGCAAAATACAAGTTATCTTACACAACCATGCCACCAGTGTGTTCTTGGAGAAGACAACACATAATATGTCTAATGTCTTTCTTACTTAAAGTCTAATTTAAAGAATCTCTAGTCTTCTTGTTTGTGCCTCAGCAATTTTTTTTCTTTTTTGAATATACAACTTTTTCATTTTATTTTTTGTCATCTCTCTTTGATATATATCTTATTGTATTTATTCACATTCCTTAAATTCTTGTCTTTGACACATATACATGAAGCAAAACTTATCAACAACCATATAAAAGATAGAATTGATAATTAATAAGTATAAAAAAACTTATTAACTTTTGTCTTATATATTAAAAAGAATGTTCTATTTTTTTGAAAACAAGTTATTATAAATACTACTAAAAACATATTAATAATATCAAATTAAAAATTATAATTAAACATTTTAAGTAAAACTTACAATCTAAATTGGTTATAAAAGAAGCTTAATTTAATTCTATTAGATGATTTTGGATTATTATTAGATAAAAAATAAAACTCAAAAAAAATGATAGAAAAAATTAATATTATAAAAATAAGAAAATAATAATTATAAAAAAATAGTTTAAAAAAACTTTGATAGACACCTAAATTACAAGATTATTATTTATCAATTAATACAATGAGGTAATCATGGAATATTAAAAATGATAGAATATACATATTTAAACGATCAAATAGGTCCTATACTACCTTATGAGTATTTTATTAATATCAAATCATAAAAAAGTTGTATAAAAGGAGAAATCTCTTTGTCTAATCAGATCTATGTTAGCTTATTTATTTAAATAATACCTTCAAGTAAATCTTTTGAGAAATACCTTATTAATACTTCGTATCTTAATGCTCTCTAGTTGCAATTTTATATGATTTTTGCATAATTATTCTTTTAAACTTAGTATTAAAAAAAAATCTAGATTATTTAACTAAAAATTAAACTGATTCTATCAATACTTATTAATTACAAACAATAAATTAGATTTAAATTCTAATACATTCTTTTAAAACAAATCTGGTATTAGCTCATATAAAAATAAACTGGATTCACATTATAAAATTAAATCTTATTAAATTTCAAGAAAATAGCATAAAAATTTATAATGACATTAACTTAAAATTTATTCTTATAATTATAGAAGTTTTTGGTTTTGGCCTTTAATTTATCAATATGAGAAAATTACATTAGATAAATAACTAATTTTTTTTATAATTTTAAATTAATATCAATTGATATTTTTCTACAAAAAAATCCAAATTAATAAGAAGTTATATAATATAGCTCTTTATTTATTTTATATTACAGAAAAATATTTCATTTTAATCTAAAATAGATCTTAAATTTTAAAAAATTAATTTTTTAAAAAATTGTACAAATAAAAAACAACTAATTATCAAAAAGATAAATGACTTTGTATTTTTTAAACAATAAAAAATATATATACTGCTATAGCAATTAATATTTTATGTTCTATAATATATCTTTAAGATTTAAAATAAATTATATCTATATATATATATATATATATATATATATATATATTATATTCTTGTATAGCTAAACAATCACAGATATTAACAGGATTGGACCAAAAAGAAAAAAAAATAAGTTGGAGCATACATATATAAGCCTTTAACCGAGGCTAATATGTATGCCTATATATATTAGTCTTGGTTTAATTTCTAAATAGTTAATAATTTTTTCAATTCATGTGATATATATATATATATATATTTTAATATCCAATTTTACTAAAATAATTTTAATTTTATTATTAAAATTGTTTATTAAAATTAAAATTTTTTGTATATTTAACTAAGGAATAGAATGAATTCTAATAAGCTATTAAGTTTATTTTAAAAATAGCTAAAAAAATCTTATCAAAGGTTGAGAAGATTAACAATAGTAAAGTAAAAATAATTAAATAGATTTCTAATCAATGTGTCTAAAACCAAAGATTGGAATTTTAAATCAAATTTTAGAGAAGAATTTAATATAATATGTATTACAAGATAATAATAATAATAATAGAAAATCTATGTAAGTTATTTAGGCTTGTGGATAAACCATAACATTATTCTAAAGACTACTTGTAGGGCAGTGATTGGTCTCTAAGAAAATATTAACCAAAAAACAAAGAAAAAAATACAATTTAAAAATAAATCCTTCATTCTTCTATTTAAATCACTAAAAGTTTTAAAATTTAAAATTTATATATAATTAAAAAAATGATGGATCAATTTTTATTTTTATAGATTTTAGAATTACCTAGATTTAAAAATTAATAATAATTAATTTTTTAGTTTTAAAAAATAAAACTTAAAAAATATACCATATTTTTCAACTAAAACTTCAATTAGTAATATTCAATAAAAAAATGATAAAGTATCTAAAAGTATATTGCTGAACTTTTCTTTTATATTATTTAATTTTTTTAAAAAAATAATAGAAATCACTGTTATATATATATATATAGTTTTAATCAATCTAAGAAATACAAAAATAAATAAGAATAAAAAATTCATTTGACATGAAATAATAAACATATATGCTTTTGTAGTAATCTATACGATATTTTTATCTTAACATATTTGTAACAATCTTAATTTGAAAAATTTATACATGATAAACTTAAATGATTCAAATAAAGGTAAAACATTAATGACCTAAATATAAAATATTGTATCTAATGTTATTAGATCTATTGAAGATTTTTTTTATTATGTCAATAATTTATCAATTTCAAAATTTAAAAAAATGATTTTTTAGAGGGTATAATTAAGTAATTTTTATTCTAATTCATTAATATAATTTATTTTGTTTTAAATTTGATTTCTATTTTCCATAAATATATCTAAATCAAAGAAAATTTATTTTTTCTTTAGGATTATGTAATTAGAAACTTTTTAATTTTCTATTATCTATAAATATTTTTAAAATGAAAAAAGAAAAAAAAAGTAATTATGTTATATTTCTCTATTTTTTTTTTTAGTTTTTTTTTTTTTTTTTTTAAATAACAAGTTCTATAACATTTATTGTAAAAATTCTATTTGGTATTTTTTTAAGTGTCTTTATTTATAATATTTTATATATAACCAGAAGGATTAATATTATCTATTATAAAATAAAACTATATATATATATATATATATATATATATATATTTTAATTATTTTTTAAAAAAAAAAAAAACATTTCAACTGATTTTATACGATTGCAGTGTAGTAAGTTTTTAAAGTTTTTGATATAATTAAAAGCACTGTTAGAACTCTTTTACATTGTCTTTTGTTAAGTTTGATTTTGAAGCACTCTTAGGTATCCAATTCCAATGTACACACACTCACACTTTGTAAGGACACATCCTTATCTAACACCATCTATTCCCTCTCCTATTCCCTTGTGCCATAAACATATCAACAAAACCTTTAGATTTGCAAAGGAAATCAAGACAAAATTAAATAAATGAATTCACTAGTTTTTCTATTGCCAAATTGAAGAAGAAGTCACAAAGATTAAATCATAGGAATAAAGTGGGGTGATTTAAGATTTTAATAGGTCAATTTAATATTTAATATAATTAAATTAATTACATATATATACATAATACTTTAATTATATCTAAATTATAATTTAGAATAATATTTTTAATAATATACTATTATCTTAATTTTTCATATTTTATCTAAGCCATTAAATTTTTAAATTAAATAGATTGGTTATTATTATTTTTACTTACATATAAATATTATAGATTTTATACCATATCCAAAATAAATCTTTAATATTATTTAATTTATTATATAAAAATTATTTTAATAATAATAAATTTTAATAAAACTTTAAATAAGTTTCAAAGAACTTTTATTATTTTATTATTTACTCATATTTTTTTTAAAGCTTAGATAACAATGATATTTTTGTTAACCTATCTAATAAATTCAAATAGCATTTTAAAAATAAGTTCAATGTTTATAAGAATCAATAATTATTTGGATATTATGACACAAAAATAGAGCAATGACTATATAGTCAAATCAAATTTCTTCATCAATTAATAGAAGTGTTTGCTTTAATTTGTTTTTGAATAAAACATCCATCTTTTATTGTACATGCTTGTGTTCCATGCTAAGGAAGGCCCAAGACAAGTACCTTTCTTTTCAATTATGTAGAATATAGTTAAGTATAGTTAGACAACACACGGTCCACAAAATTCTCTAAAATTTTAAAAATACCCATTCTATCAAACAATAATCGGCTTTTATGATGTGCTTAAATAGAACCCATTTAATTATATATATATATATATATATATATATTTTGTTGTATACTCAAATCAACCTTGTTGGGATAGATCTTGTCGACAAAAAATATTATAAGTCTCAGAGAAGAAATGTTAGATATATAGAACACAACAGTCCCCCATGTGGTCATTCAAACAGTAATTGCAACTCTCTCTCTGTATTAGCAAAGGGATGTGTCCAGTTCTATTTAAAATCAGATAAATAAAGAAAAATACCACGCTCAGGCAAGCACCAAGGATACACTCTGGCTGCGGAAGCACGTACTCCAACCAGACAGTTAAAAAACTGTAAACAATGGTTGGCTTTGACTGAAAAATGTGGAGTTTGAAGGCGACCAAGGCTCGGCTGCAGGGCCTCTGACCTCCACCAAGTCCATCCCATGCTCAAAACTTGAATGCCACTCACCGCATGAACCTCCAACTATGGCTAAATAAACTTTACGAGCTTCCACTCAAAATATTTAATGCTTAATTTTCCAGTTGTCCAACAAGCTGTTTTCTCAATTTTAGTGTCTAGACTAGAATCTGGATGTTGCTTGCAACGAATCCTGGTCATGCTGCTATTACTCGGGGACTGATGCTTAAGCACCTACGAAAACACTTCTGGGAGTGAAGCGAGGTTTGCACGTTTCTCGACAACTGATACTGTGTTTCAGACCATCGACAGTGTAGAAATAGTGCAGGCACTGAGTAGACTTGCATGTGCAGCAGAGAAATCGAAGTGTAAAATACGTATTGCAGGTTTAGTTATATGGGTTGCTGGGCAGGAGCGATCCTTTGAGAAAGCTTTCGAACACTTGCAACCACTGGGCTGATCTCAGTAAAGGCACTTCGTGTCCTGCTCCCCTAACTACAACCAACGTCAAGTTTCCTTTGTACACCACTTCACGACCTCCAACCTGCATTACCACAGACATTGCCACAAATTCAGTCTCACGAACACACAAGCGCTGTGCACTTCGAAAGTTTGGGTCTGAGGCACGCACACCGGTCACTTGTAACATTCAACAAACGTTTGCTACATTGCTGTATTGCATATTCATTGCCGGGCGTGCATGCATTCAAGTCATGCTCCTGGACTTAGCGGAGAGGACAACTGCATGTGAAGTGGTTTGTAGCAGTGAAGATTGTAATCAGTCATGCGATCCCCTCTGCTTTCAGTATGGACTTCGATTTATTTTCTAGATTTCATTACCTGTTGGTGGTGGTACCATGAATACCAAGGGACGACGATGGGCAGATTCAAGGATGCCAAGGCGTATCTGGTGCCTGTAACTGGCACCACGCTGTCCGAGTCTCCGCTGCGCACCACGAGCAGGGCTCCCAAATTAATAGAGTCGCTGAGTAGAAATCATTGAACAGTCGTTTGCCCTCATGTCCATAGATAGATTTTGCAAGGAAGGTTGAGTACCTGATTACCCACAAGCGTAACCCCGCGTTCAGAAGCTCCCGATAGATCGGCAGCACCGTTGCTGCTGAGTCCTTCCAATTCACAATCAACTGATCGCTACACCCAACCCAGGGATATGGAATCCCCGTCGTGTTTGCGTGCATTGCTTTCTGCACGTCTGGACGGTTGAAGTAGATCAACGAGTTATCGTAAGTGCAGGGGTCATATCCTTGGCGCACAAGACCCAGAACTGGATTCTTCGACGTCTGTTGAAGACCTCGATGAAAATGATTTCTAGACGAGTTCGTGGATGACTCTGAGACGCACGCCGGTGCGTAGATTGAGTACGGGTCAATGCCGCCATATTCGTTGGTCGATTGATAGAACATCAGTTGGATGCATTCTCGGGAGAGTGGCGCATTATCGTGAGTGAACTTACAAGCCTTCTTCATCTGGGAGTATGTCTCATCGCTGATCAGAGCGTGGTAGTAGAGGAAGTCGATGTAGCCCCAGTTGTCGCTGTAGGCGTCGATCACCGGGTTGCCCACCATGAATCCCATGAAGTTGATTCTCGATTGGGAAGTGAGCTTCTTGTTGTTGTCATAGATGAGCTTGGCGAGCTCTGGGATGTAGAGTCCTGGCAAGTCGAAAGCGTTAAAACCATCAGAAGAATTGCAATCTTTCATTTGGTGTTGGTTTGGCAGATGCATCAACAGAATTGAATGAAAGGCAGAGGCAACTAGGGTGAATTGGTACCGGCGTAGCTTTCGCCAGCGAGAAAGAAGGGACGCCCTCTGTATTGCGGGAAGCGCTTGAACCAGTTCGTCACGAATGCATAATTGTCTTTTGCTGCGAATCAAACTTGTTAAGGAATAATTCTCCAATGTAGAAATGAAAATAGTGGCGACCACCATCTCTATTGTAATACTTGAGAGAAACGAGAGAAATGATCAATACCTGTGCGAAAATCTCCGGCTGCAAGGAGATCGCTGCTCGTGTTGCTGTAGGAAAATCCAGTTCCAGCGGGAGACTCAACGAAGAGCACGTTAGCAACTGCAATTGCGAATTCACCGATGTGAGTTGACGAAGTGATGTTCATTTCTCCAACGACACAAGAATTGTTCGAAGCAGATCATCCAAGTACCTTTATTGCCAGAATCACGATTGAGCCTGAGAGATTCTCCTCCCGAATTGATGAAAAATGGACCCAGTTCCTCGGCGAATCCATATGCAATTGACGAGCAACCAGGACCTGCGTCGCCAATCCATCACGAGCATCAGGAAACAATTCCAGTACCAAAAGCGTTCGAAGCATTCATGAATCATCAAGGGATGATCTAAGTAGGTCCGACCTCCATTGAACCAAAAGACCAGGGGCTTCTCCTCTGAGTTCTCCTCCGCCTCTACAAAGAAATAATAGTGTGCTCTTCCGGCTTTCTCATCCACAGTGATGTACCCCGCGTACATGGCGAAATCCACGGGTGGCTGTCCCGGCAGAGCCACGATTCGGTCAACGTCCTGCTCTTCCCCACATCCATACTCCAAAGTTTTCCTTTCAGTTGTGTCTGTCCACCTCACAGCCAGCGAGGGGGAATCCAGAAACAAGCACATCACCACCACAAACAACCAAACCGCGACAGCAACCGGCCTCCGCATCATGAATTCGGCTTGATTTTTACACTTCTACCTGTCTTTTCAATCGATGTCACAGTCTTTTTCCAACTAATATATCCATATCAAGTCATATGGTATCTCTTCTGTGGGAACCTCACAGATACGTGTAAGTCTATTACATTGATCCTACCACATGTCGACTCCAGTCCTGCTCAAGCTGGGACGCAGCTTGCCAGTCAACTCCGCAACCAATTACTAAAGATCAATCAATTCCGACCGACTACGTGAAGAACAGGTAGTCTTCCAGGGTCCAATACAATAGATTGCACCCACATTAATGCAGACGGAGAAAGCAGTCAAATAAGTTGTATGCATTTATGGCTGAGCGTCCACAAGCTGGCGGGGGTGACACTGGGAGAAAAACCACACAACGCAAGCATAGCCAACCCCCTGGAATGATGCAATCTATGAGCAGCACCACATCCATACACCACCCTTCTCAACACCAGATTCAGTTCCATTGGATGTGCCTCATCACCGCTTTAAAGTCCCTTCCTGTCAGCGGCAGCTTTTAATCCTGGGCTGCAACCCAACCCAGTAATAACCTCACAACAAAACTTCGCCCAGTCGATTGGACCGAAACCATTATTCCGAAACCGTGATTCGAAGCCCTTGGGGACTGAACCCAGCTGAGGTTAAGACATCCCTATGCGGGTGGCAGGATGCTAAAAAGGGGAGAGGTTGACATGCGCGTCAACGACGACGACGATGCCGACGACGTGCCAGCTGCTGCAGCTGCAGATCTACACATGCGGCTGAAAGTGGGGCTACTAGTTTCGGAAGCTCGATAAGTCAGGCTTGGCGAGATAGATGTAAATTCTGACAACGCAGGAACTTGCTTTTAAAAGCACTGTGCTCTGTGTCTGTGCGTGGTCTTCAGCACCAAGGCCTGCAACGGGGAGTGTCGTCAGAGCGTCAGTGCAGTGCAGTGAAGGGCGTCGGCGTTACCAGTCGAGCATTCATACACACACAATTGCGATGCGGTGATTGCCCACCTCAAGTGTTGACAGACTGATCACATTTTTACAGTACTCTGCTGTTGATTAGTTGTAATTACTCTGCAATCTGGTAAACTTAATTTGCTTAAATTAGCATGTCACTCTAAGCATGGAGAGTTGTGGGGTGAGGTAATGGTCTTTTGGCAACACTGTTTGTGCATTCTGTTTTGTTCGCTTTTTTTTTTTTTTTTTTTTTTTTTTCTTCTTCTTCTTCTTTTCTTTTTAATATTTGAAAAATCAGGTTTCTGATATCTAGTGCTGTATTTTTTTATTTTTTATGAGTTTTGTTTTATTTCTATTGAAAGTTTGAGATGGAAACAAGTTGTGTTGTTTGAGTTGTTACAAGTTTGGAAGACATGTGATTGTTATAGTTGTGCGCTTTGCGTCATTGAGTAGGATAAATCTCAGATTGATTTGTTGTAGATCTACTTTTTTCAATTTTTTATTTTCAGTTATAAGTTTTAAGATCCTAGAATTTATCAACAAACGAGAATGATATTATATTGGTGTCAAACGGAAGAGTTCTACTTTTCAAATACAGTGCATTGTTACTTTGCATTGAAGGTTGACTACAGTGAAAAGCATTCAAAATCCTTGTATTTTCATTTTAAAATAATATGACCAAACTGAGAATATATATATATATATATATATATTTATATCACATGGAATTATTTCTATTCTAGAAAATTCCTTTTAATGTTGTAACAACACTATGTTAGCACATGCTTGACTGGATGTGATTTCACATTACAAACAAAGGTTTAAAATATGAAACATCTAATGCTCATTAAGTTTGTTACAGATGATGAGGATTGATGAATTCTCTTTCTTCTTAATATGATCTTTCTTATTTTTCTTAAGTGTTATTTAATCTATATAATTTCAAACATAAAACTTAGCAAGTAAAGAAGAGTGATTTCATTACACATGGATCGGTTATGTTGTTAAGCATTAGTCAAGATTGGATTCAAGACTTTTGATTGTGAACAACTTGGCACACTTGTGGACTCTATCCCCCCAAGTACTCCTTCATTCGTACCTTTAATTGTATTTATGTACATTGTAATTTTCTATCTCTTACTCTTGGTAAGTCCAAAATTTTGAGAGATGTTGATTTAATCTAGGAAATTGTATGTGTGTAAATTGATGTTGTCTAATGTAATTTTTGTAAAAATAATAATAAAACATCCTTGTCCACTTTAGACTTATTATTGCAACTTTCACAATAGTTTAATTTTAAAATAAAAAAATAACTAACAATCCTATGAATGGACGTATCCACCAATACCAACCTTAAACTAAATGTCAACTTCATGATAGAATGGAAGAAAAATCACCTTGGATGTAGTAAATGTATTACTATAAATAAATTTGATGTCCATAACAGGTATTTCAATTTCTGCATTTAAAAATGAGATAAAAAAATAAAAACTAAAAAACATACATAAATCAATAAATCGATGATGATAATAATAATAATAACATGTCAAGAATCACATAAAAGTTGTTCTTAAGGGAACCTAATTACTGAGCTTGCAATCATGTGTATTGTAAAAGTATCCACCTTCTTACAAATATTTAAGCTGACATCTTATCAAGATCTTTTACTTTGGAATCATAAATTTTACTGATCTTCAACATTAAACATGGATAACTGCATTCTAGATCACACTGTTTTTTTTAATCAGATCATTCTGTTTGGTAAACACCAAAACAATTACATAAAATTTCATTACAAATGTAAAGAAGTACAAGGTAGAATACAGAATAAATGCCATAAAGAAGAACTAAATTTTTAATCATTTTTTCACATATGAATGATGTGATATCTTATGTTTACAAGTCAACATTTAAATTATAATAGTGGAAAGGTAAACAAGGCCATTCATTTTAATTATCTTAATCAAGGTTTTTTTTGTAAAAGATGTGTGTTTTCTTCTAAAGCTTTAAACGGTCTGTTTTAAATAATAAATATGATAAAAGTACCAATAGAAAGTCTGTATGTATAGTGTACTGATACATGAATGAAAAATTGAAAATATATACACGAAAGAGAAAATAGCTCTTGATTGATTTTAATTTCAATGCATTTTTATTTTATGGTCTTGAAAACAATCTCAATGTTTTTGAATATTTTTTTTATTTAATGATGTTAAGAATAAGAAATGAAATATATTGCATGCAAAAGAATAACATTGAATAGGACTATGCATAAATATAGAATCTTAAATATGATACTGTTGCACAATAAAGTACTACATCTGTGTTTCTTGTGCAAACCATACATGTTGCATGTGACAATCTGTAAACTCTTCATCATGTTTGTTAATAAAACCTTGTTTTATCTAATTGTTCTTTTATCTTTGAATGTTTAGTATTATGATTTAAATGTTATATCTTTTTTCCCTCTTATATAAATTTCTCATATTTTTAACAAAAAAAATTGTCTTTGAAATTTCAAAAAGAAAAATGAAAAAAAATATTGTTTCAATTGATTTTGTTTAAAGTACAACAAGTGGTTATTTTACTTCTAAATTATTATTGGTACATAATCGAGGCTTATGTATTTCACTTGAAGAATTATTTCACTTTTGATGCTGTAAAATTTGGTGCCGTTCTCAATCTAAATTTGTTCAACATTTTTTTTATTTGTATACTATACAGTAAGTAACTTTATATTTGATGTTGTGAATGTTTAACATTTTTAAAGTTAATATTTTATGAAACGAAAAGTTTAACTCCTGATGAAATGGTTTGTGATTATGATAATTTTATTATAAATTTATTAAATTACATTAATACATTAGTGTAATACTGTAAAAAAATATAAATATTTATATGAGTAATTGTAAAAATAGCATTTTATTTTACATTTTTTTGCCAAGAACTGGTTTTAAATGATAAATAATGAAGAATACTTTGCTTTTTAGTTTTTATTTTTATTTTGGTTGATTTCTAATATTAAGTTCATTAGTAACAACTTAATGAAGATTTTCTAAAAAACTTGTATTACGATATTTTAATATAATACAAGTAAATAAATAAATAAATAAATAAATTTTTTATTGAATTACTTGAGTATATGACCTCAAACGTTTTTTATATTTCCTACAATAACTCTTGACTTCTTAATCAATATCTGTAATTGTAATACAGGTTTTTATTTTTCTAAACCAGTTACTGATAATTTAGTGTATTGAATTACTTAACATGTATGTGTTCGTTGTTTATAATTAGAAATATTTTGAGTTTTAGCGTCATTTAGATATTTTCACAAGATTTATGATAATGTCCCATGCAACATAAAATCAAACTGTTTTAGTTATCATTCTAGGCATGAAAATGTACTTCATACTTCAAGCCTTTTTGGTGGCTTTCATTTTAAGTCAAATTCACACAGTTAGATACAATGAAATCACAAGTACTGATCACAAAATAAATAATACCAATTTGAGTGGGTGTACCCATATTAACATTTGGGTGATTTAGGTGGGATGTCACATTACTTTGTTGGTCACAAATGGTAGGAAGATGAAAAAACTAAAGTATTTAAGCCGATTTAATTGCAAGTTTCATTCAATGAATTTAAACATGAATATATAAATTTTGATAGCATTTACCAGGCTAACAAGGTGGAAACATTAATCTTGTGGTATGTTGATGTGGTTAAAATATTAAAGACATAAAAGTTTTACTGACCCCAATTATGCATATTATATGTAGATTTGGAGTTCAATGTATATGTATGTTAAAAAACAAATATATATATATATATATATATATATGAATGAATTATAAAATGATTAGATGATGCATAAAACTATCCAATTCATTGCAATTTGTGACATCAAATCAGTATATGAGAAATGAAGGTTTTCTAACATAATATGCTTTTGTAAAAGTGCATACCCAATTTCTTATTTTTTTTATTTTTATGATTAGTAGCCTTAAAATTAATTTTTTATTATATATATATATATATATATATATATATATATATATATATATATATATATTCAATAGAAAAGAAAAGAAAAGAAAAGAAAAACTAAATTAAAACAAAAACAAAAAAGAACTTTAAGACAGTTCCACAAAAAATCTCTACCTCTGCAAATATAAAACTTAAGTATTTCCTAACATGTTGCATAATGTGTTATGTGAGAGCACTGCTGAGAAACTTGAGCACAATCATATTAAAAGTTATAACTATGATAATAAATAAGTTTTAAAAGTCAAATGAGAAAAGGACAAAATATAAAAATCATATTACAAGAAATAATAATAAAAAAAGAAAAAAGAAAAAATAGAATGTAATTTTATTCTGTTTCAGAAACAAATAAATGTTACTACCTTAACCTTCAACACACTATTATACTCACAACTTGAATTTGAAATCATGTATACTAGTTTTGTGGATAAATCAACCATGTTGATCACATAGCAATTTCAAACATCCTCAATTTCAAACATCCACATGGCATGAATTAGAAAAAAAAACAAAACAAAACAAAACAAAACAAATCAATAACAAAAAAAAAAAAAAAAACAAAACAAAACAAAAAAAAAACAAAACAAAACAAAACAAAACAAATCAAATCAATAACAAAAAAAAACAAAACAAAACAAAACAAAACAAAAACAAAAAAACAAAAAACAAAAACAAAATACATAACAAAATACAAAACAAAACACTTGTGTATTGAATTCATGTCATCGTCATATTGAATACATGACCACCAATTGGGACTGAGCTTTTGGACATTACAGTTTGCTGCAGCTTTGCCACCACCAATCATGTGCAATCAGTGCCCCCACAATTCTCAAAGGACAGCTGAAACCCTAAAAAATCTTCCACTAAATCCTCATATAACCCAGCCAACAAAGCTGAGTTTTGGATGGGTCACCCACATTTTATATAGATTACATGCACATCTCAAACTTTCACAAATTCAACCTCCAGCTCAGCACAATAGCATAAAAGAATGCTGTGGCAAACAATCAGAGGATGTACTGTTTTTTATAAAGAACCCTTGTTCTAAAAATCCACGTTACTTCTATCTTTTTGGGTACTGGTCATTAAATGCTCTGTTGTCCTGCAATGTGGAGCATTGTATAGGTCACAAAGACCATTGACTCTGATTCCATACAGAAGCCCTACCCACCCCTCTAATCCAAAAAGCTTCCAGACTTTGATATCACAGTACATGGTAGGTGATCAGGAAAAAAAATAATGTGCACAACTTGGTTTATATATATCCATATATATATATATATATATATATATGTATATTCACCCAGAAATCTTCTCATTCTTGGGTGGGTCAAGAGTAGCACTCAGTGGACCACACAATTGAGCAATTGAATGGGTTTTGTTTGCTCTTCTGAGCCTAAAACCTGTTGAGCTTGACATGATTAAGTTCAAATGATTTTACAAACTTAAATGAGACAGTGCAATAGAAACCCTTGATGGTATTTTTGAACGATGAATGACAAATACCAAGACTCTTTCATCAGTATAGAATTACTGCTGACAGTTTCCCAGTTGTAATGTGCTTCATTTTTTTCTTTTTAGTTCAGAGAAAAGCTGAACAGGGAACATAGATGGCAGTGTGAATAATAATGAGTAATATCTTTATCAGAAACGGTGCATGTTTGGTCATGGTATGCAAACTATCAGTGACAAGAATATCTAGTCGACGGCTCAACCACAGGCTAAGAAAGGTTCTTGGGCTCTGCTCATCAGAACCGGCAACCAGGGCCCCAGCAACGTCACTAGATACCATCAAAAACACATGGTTGACTGCAGAAACATGCTGCCAATAAAAATAAAAAATAAAAAAACATGTGTTAAGCACACTAGACTTCATTAAGAATGCAATAATAGTGAAACATCCAGTCATCCTATCAATGTGAAAACGACATGAGACACTTGAAGAAGTCTTTGGCTGAAGCTGTCTTTCCAGTCTAATTTCAGTCACTCTACTAGTCAACTGAAGTGTTTTAACCAAGCCCGAATTGTACAGCTAAGCTGTGCATCGCAGAGATTAAATTGCAACCAGCCATTATCCAAATACAAAGACTACTCGTCCTCATAATTCTAAGATACCCTAATTACCACATCCTTTCAGATGCAATGTGAAAATGATACCGATTATAATGTGTCGCTACCGGACCATGAAAATTACAATCATCTACAAAAGAAGCTAGGAAAGAAGGTTGAAAATGACATCAGCTGGTTTTGCAGCAGGCTTCTTCTCTATATCACGTACACCAAATGATGCAAAGTCGGGGGCAATTGAATCAAATAGATCAGGAGCCGCATCCGGTAACATAGCAGAACCTGTATTGCTGTGCTCACGCAAGAAGGTCTGGTCCTCGAGACCTGAGAAATCGATGGATGAACTGGGAGCTTTAACAGGGAGCACCCGTTCTCCAAACAAATCGAAGTTGAGGGACAAATGAGGGTCCTGAGCAGCTGTGCCGAAAAGGTCCAGTGCAGATGTGGTGGAGGTCTCCTTGTTCAGATCCATGAAATCCGGGATGCCTCCTAGTGAGGCTTTGTTTTTTACAGCGTTTGTTTGATTTGCAGGCAGTTGATTACCGAGAAATCCATAAGCATCAGAATCATTCTTAGTAGCCTTGCTGCCAAGGTCGAAAAGGTCTGGAGCTAACTGTGTCAAACCTGAGCTTCTGGCAGTGGATTCCTTGCCAACACTTGAATAGGTATTCAAGAAGTCGAAATCGGTCAGCCTTGTCGAAGTAGTTGAAATTGTCAGAAGGTCTATAATTGCTTGATCTGACTTCGACACATTTGAAGGAGTCTCAAAGCTAAGAAGAGCATTATCATTACAGCCAGTTGCTGAGCCCGTATTTTCAGAGCCAAAATCCAGCAAATCGCCTACTGGTTGTGCTGGTGGCTGAGGCTTTGGCCTGGCAATTGGGGACTTGAAGCCGCCTGGTGGAGGTGGAGGAGGGGGAAGCTTGAACTTGCCAGATGAAGTGGCCAATGCTAAGTCGCCCATCCTTATCTTGCTTTTACTTCGACGAGGTCCATGCGTCGTAGATTGCCCTTTCATTGGTTCTTTGACAGGAATCTTGGGCGTAGCCTTTGGACTCTGCACACTGGTTTCAGGATTGATAGAAGTGGAGATCCGAGGAGGATGAGGTGATGAAACTTCTTCATCGAAAAGATAATCTTTCCTCGTAGACGAAGACGAGCCGTTCAATTTTGGACTCATGCCTGGGCTTGAGTTCTGCAAGATCAATACCACGGCTCGTTTCCTCAGGTCCAGTAATAATCTTTTCAAAATTGTAAGGGAACACATGCAAGATATCTCGTCAAGTCGGGAATGTAATATATACCATGGATCTGGAGAGAGAGAGAGAGAGAGAGAGAGAGAAGCCAGTCTAATAGTCAAGGCAGGAGAACATTCTATGAATCTCCGTTAAGTGCTTAATTTTCATGAACGGCAATTTCATTTTATTTTATGCTAATTTTGGAGAAATTAGTTTTACTCATAAACCGGAGAGCTAGTACTGTTTCAGCAGAACAACATGAAGTCACGACAAAAATATTGAATATTTTATCAAAAGTCGTCAAACAGAAATATCGCGAAAATTGAAGATAAGCTTAGAAATATGATACACTCACAGAGAAGTCGGCCCAGTTTGAATCGTTCGCGCTATGCTTAAAAGAGAAGGTGGAAGTATCATCCTCGAATGCTTTCCAGTCACTAGTTGAATTCTCCTCAGCGACATGTCTTGATTTCTCCTGCCTATTACCGCGCTTTTCAGACAAAATTCTTTCTTCAAATGCAGTGAACTTCTTCTCGACGTGGTAATCGTCCGAGTCCGTATCAAACATAAGACCATCTGAAGCTGAGGATGACGTGGGAGTATTACCGAATCCCCCGTAGCGAGAAGCACCGGACCCGATGCCATTTGATTGATAACTTCCCTGTCCAAAAATGGTTTTTGAAAGCTTCTGAGATCGAGAACGTTCTTCCCGCAGATAATCGTCCTCCGTCAGCAGCTTCAGCACTTGCTTGGCTTTTTTTTTCACAACTAGTCCGTGATCAACCCTGTACAATCCATGTACTAGAGTTGAGAAAAAATTGAAAAAATAGAAAAACGTGCGGTAGCACATTAGATTTCAGAAAGTAGGCACTTGCGTGCAAAAGACCAACACAAAATAGTTCAACGCTATCACATGGGTAGATATAGTAAAAACAACACCACTTTTAAGCATGATCAATGGACTCAAAAACTTCAGAGGAAAGCGTGTAGAATGTACCCCCGCTCACTGACGTAGTTGAAGCGTGTTAGATCCTCAATAAGGTCTTTATCTGAGCTGAATTCTATGACTATTTTTTCTGGGCCATGGAAGAGTAGAAACTCAATAACGGTGAGCGTTTTCAGAAACTGCCTCCAGTACTTCTTTCCTATCAATGTCAACCTGAATGACAAAACCACCACGAAAATCATAAGCTAAGAGCTACTCCCGCAGCTGATCATATTGTGCAAGGAGTACCAAGTCCAGCATAAGAAATTGTGATAAAAAAGAGAGCGCATATCCTGATGAATTTCACTTCGAATGGTAACATGTTGAATCCTAAAGAACCAGAGAATACTTTGAGACTATTGATATCAACAAATCACCTCAAACTATTGATATCAAAAAATAGTAATTGTATCAAAGAGTTGGTTGTAACCGACCTCCCATGAAGAACCTCCATAATACGAGGATACTCGTCCGGTTGGCGGCAAGAATCAACAATAGCAGCCATGGTTTTCGTTGAAGGACCCCATGGGTCATCGTTCGTAGCTTCCTCCGCCAACCTGATTTATTTTTTAAATAAAAAAAAAATAAATTTTAAATTTTAAAACAGTCACAACTTCTCATTCAATCCTCAGTGCACCAAACAACTACAGCAATCAAAAATCACCAAAACAGAAGATGTTCAAGATGGTGAGGGCATGCTTACAACTGGCAGGTCGTGACGCCAGTCAGAAGCAGCCGCGCAGAATTGATCTTTTCTCTTAGAAAAAAGGAAGCCTGCTTCTTGACGTTGTCATAGTCCACGTTTCCCAACCCCACCTTCTGTCCAATAGTCTCAAGGTAGTCCATCTTATATCTCAAACAAGAGAGCGGAGAGCATGAATGTAGCCCTGCTGATAAAAGTGCACATTTGCAAGTACATCAATGAACTAATCCCATGCCTCGACTCCCCAGGATATTTCATTCCTAGTCTATGTCTTCCTCGAGCCACTGTGCATCTAATCTAAATTTCAGTCAAACATTCAAGTCAAATATACGGATCCACAGCCAGTCACTGATAAAAATAAAAATAATAAAAAAAAAAAACAGGATCGCACCAAAGACAGAGCTCATCCGCGACCTAAACATTATTTCCAACACTCAAAACCCATGCCCACTCCAACACCCATGACCCATGACCCCGCAACCCACCTAATTGTACATCCAATCCACCTCCACTTCACCCGATCCTGCAATCCGCTTCAACCATTCAACCCAACTCACAAAACCCTCCCCCACAAACTTTCCTCCAATCAATTGCACCTCGTCACTCAACCCTCTTCCTCTCTACACCCAATCCACACCCCTGACCCAGCTCACAAAAACTACAGAAAGCAACTCACAAACCACAATGCACACCTTTTCAACCATCGCCCACTTCAATCAAACGCAGAACTCCATCGCACCCTCACTCCATTGCCCAGACCACCTCTCACAAATCTCTCACTGCCATGAAAATTAGTACAATAGCCCATCCGGCCACCAAAAGAGATGAAACAAAATTCAGAAGAAAGGGAAATGAAGCAAGAAAAGCGTGAAGCGGGGGCAGTATTACAATCTGGCGAGGCCTTGGCGATGGAATCCAGTTAGAATTCAAGGCAGCAGGCTTCAGCATCGTTGCTGGAATCCACCAACTCAGCCAAGGCCAAGCCCAAGCCAAGCCAGAGAGACCAGGACAACAACAACAGCCCATGAGGAGGCCAGCACGTTTTGTTTCATTCATCCACCATTCATAAATCTATTCATTCATCATTGCTTCATCCGGTAGCATAGGATGCAATTCGGCAGTTTCGTTGACGAGTTCCATTCTGATGGGCCGCTTGGACGTAGGCTGCTATTCGGTCCCTTTTTAATCTTAATTTAATTGATGATTTGATTGGGTTGTTATTAATAGAGTTAGGCTTGAGAGATGTGGGGGGCTTTTGGATTAAAGTGCAAAACCAGTTGTGCGCTGAAATATTCCATGATTTTGTGTTAACGGATTAATTTTTGGATTGTTGTGGACGGATGCATATTTATAGGGGACATGGCTATTTTGGTTTTTGTCATCAAAACTATTGTATTGTGTGTGTATGTTTTGTTGCATCATACTTTTATTGGTTTATTTTGATTATTAATTCTGTATTAATGTTCTTGTGATGTATCTCTTTAGCTGTAATTTAATCCTATATGCAACAACTTTTTTGTTTTGGATTTCTTTAATCATTTCAAAGATTAAAAGTTTTTTGGTGTAAAAAATATTTAGGAAATATTTAAAATTTTCTAGTTATTCTATATGTATATATATATATTTCAAAACTTAGTGGTTTTTTCTTTTCTTTTTCTTTTTTCCTATAAAGATAAATTATTTGACTTTCAAATTATATGAGAAGGTTGAAATACTAAGCAAAAATTAATAAAGCACACAAAAACATATTCTTAAAAATTTGGTAGCTGTATTCTTGACAAGAGTTATGTTGATTGATTTTTTTAGACAATCCATAGTCCATTTATACCAATTATCAATATTTAGTTAAAATCTAAACTAGTCAAATCAAATCTAAATAAATTATATAAAAAAACAGCAATTAAATACTAATAATTTATTTATTCCATATAATTTATTTATAAAAACTTTGTAACAAAATGGTAGAATTTTCTATAAATTATTTCTTTGAAAGTTTTTTGATTCCTTTCTTGCCAACCCACAACTTCTTGAAAAAATATTTGATCTTTTATCTTAATGAATTTGCTAAGTTGTAATTTTAAAAGATTAATTAAATAATTTTTAAATTAATTAAACCACTTATGTATATATGTATATATATATATATATATATGCACACACCTGAATATATAAAATGTTGCTAATTCATACCACAATGCATAAAATGCTTGTTCTTTATGGATGTGTATTTTAGTGTTCTATAAAGTGCATTGAGGTATGCAACATAAGGTTAAAACAATTGATAGTACTATTAAAAAAAAAAAAAAAAAAAAAAAAAAAACTATAATGACATCTCATGAACAGTACGTTGTAGTGGGAATAGTAAAAATTATGGTGGCATTAGCAATTCCCTATAAATATATAAAATATTTATAAATTCTATTTAGTTATTTGTATATTATGCTATATGTGTATGTATATACATGTGTGTATGTTTTGTTACTATTAGATTTTACGTCACTGTATATTAATTAATTGCTTTAATATCTTACTCTTAAAGCATAACAAGAGATTCTAATATCAATTATAGAGTAATTTTGTTAAAATAAGTATTTATTTATTTATTTATTTCTATTCTAATTTTATATAAATTTTAGTTTATAACTTGAAATATATTTTATCGAAATATTTGATATAATGGATTTAAAAAACAATTTACTACTAAATATTATACAAATGTATTGTTTATTTTCTTTAATACTTTTAAATTTAAATAAATATTACTATATATCTTAAAATATTATTAGTTGTTAATAAATTTAAAATTTATTTTAAAATGAAATAAAATTTATATACATAATACATTATAATATGAATCAATTTGTATTTTGTACAATTATATGTAATATGTAAAATGAATGAATATTTTTATAAATTCAAAGAATCTTATATAAAATTTATAAAAAATTACACAAAGTCATTAATGATTATAAAAGACCATAGAAGCATTTATAAAACTATTTAAAGAATTTGCAAAGTTGAAGACAATGCTATAATATTTAAAAATACTTTTCATATTTCTAAAAAGTTACAAAAAGTTGATAAAACTATCTTAAAGATCATAGTAGGTTCTAAAATTATCTAAAATTTCGTTATTTATATTTCTCATTACTATTTTTTTCACCAACAAGTTCTAAAAGGAGTTAGAAAAGATTCTTTTATTTTATTTTTACAATATCAATGATTTTTTAAGAATTTGTTATATTATATGTTGTCTTTTGACTTATATGCAATAGAAAAAAAAATTAATTAAGTCCTATTTTTTAACCAATGCTTAAGCAACTTTTTAATATTTTAAAGCCAATTTATTTATTTTTAATGTGGTTGTACTAATATTCAAAAGCATGTGCTTCAACTAAAAGTTGTACATGCAATAACAAAAGTTTTAACAACTATTATAGTTGATCAAGACATTTGTGGCAAATAAGATCTATTATTAGAATCTTACAAATATATTTAAATATCTTAATTAAATATCCTTAAGCTATCAAAATAAAATCTTGATCTTTTTATACACGTCCTATTATTTAATTTCTTCTTTAAGTTCATTTCAACAGTATTACTAATATTACATAATATTTGAATTTTTACATTAAAAAAATGGATTATAAAATAATCAATAATAAAACTTATATTAATTTTTTAGTGTATTGATAAGATTAATAAATGTTATTTTATTATTTTTTTCCTATACGTTTTTTAATAAGTTAGATATTTTTTATATTTGAGAATGAAGGATTATTTTCAAACTTATTGTTAATTTTTTAATCATCTATAGTTAGAAATAGTTGTATAAGACATCTTCTTCAAAGACATGATTCATAATAGGCTTTCCAAAGTAAAACATCAAAAGGTTAGATAGATTTAATTAATTGGTAGGAACTTGAGACAAATAAATAGAATAATAAATGATATGTATTGTAAATAGGTCTAATTTTTGATAGTTCAATTTCTTTAATGTATAATTTTTTGATACTTTTAAAAAAACTATATTTAATTGATAATTTCAAACTTTGATTAAGATTTTTAATTATTGGATATATGACTCTCTATCAATTTTATTCTCTCAAGGCGTCCTCTAAGTCAGCCTCAGCATCACCGTACCTCCTGCTGGCCGACCCTGGTTGCTATTCCTTTT